TTTGTTTTTGAAAGAGAGAGCATGAGCTGGGAAGGGGCAGAGAGAGGGAGACTCAGAATCTGAGGCAGGCTCCAGGCTCTGAGCTGTCAGCACAGAGCCTGATGTGGGGCTTGAACCCACAAACCGTGAGATCATGCCCTGAGCCAGAGTCAGAAGCTTAAGGGACTGAGCCACCCCGGACAGCTCTTTCTAAAACCTGCCCTAGAGTCGGGGATGAGGGGTATCCTTTTTCAGGCAATTACTAGGGGTCAGGCGCTAAGGAAAAGTTTTTACATATATTGACTTTAAATAATAGCTAAATTTTGTGAGGCACCCCCGAGTCTTAAGGAGCTCAGATAATTTCTCATTGGCCATATGGCAAATAAATTAAGAGCAAGGATTCTATCATTTAATTAAGGTTATCAAACAATATGTCTACTTTAGGTCAGTCATCGTATTTGCTATTGAAGATACAAAAATGAATGAGCTTAGTGAAAAAGAAAGTGGATCCTGGAGCTCTATCATCGTGGGCATGAGTTCTAGCTCCCCCACTTATTAGCTGTGCTACCTTGGACAAGTTACTTAGCCTCTGTGAGACTCAGTGTCCTCACCTGTAGGATGAGAGTAATAATTCCTTCCTAATAAGATTGTTGTGTGAATTTAATAATACTTCACTTGTAAAGCTCTTCATGGGGTGGGAAATTACAGTGGTAGCTTCCAAGCACACTTATGCTACTAATCAGGCCATCCTAGAGGTCATGGAACAGAAAGGTTGAGGTCAAACTGAATTGCTTGAATTACACAGTTTATTAATTTAAAACCTACATCAAGGGGAAAGAGACGAGGTAGCTAACCTATTTAAAACAGGGTATGGGGAAGGGAAGGAGTGGAAGGAAAGACCTTACAATCCAAATCTGAATGTTCCTCAATGTTCATATATCCTGGCCTTGCTGCATCAGCTTTCCTGACGGGTGGTGAAGTTATTAAGAACAGAGTTAAGGATTAGGAAGGGATCTCAACAGACAGAAGATGAAGTCAACACATGCTCTTTTGGAAAGATGCAGGAGCAGGTAGACCTGCTCACAGGTGTAACTTGCCATAAATTAACCTGCTGATCAGCTGAGTTTTATCTGTGTTTCTTGAGAAGAGCCCTTGTGGGGCCAAAATGGATGTCACCAATTGGTGGCTGATTTAGGGATAAGATAGTTGTCAATCTAGAAAGTGACATGATCTTTACCTTATGAATATTTAAGATCTACTTACTCCTTCCAGCCATTTCTTTAAAAAATTTTTTTTTAACATTTGTATTTATTTTTGAGAGAGAGACAAACAACACATGAGCAGGGGAGGGGCAGAGAGAGAGGGAGACACAGAAGCAGGCTCCAGGCTCTGAGCTGTCAGCACAGAGCCTGATGAGGGGCTGGAACCCATGAACTGTGAGATCATGACCTGAGCTGAAATCGGATACTTAACCAACTGAGCCACCCAGGCGCCCTTCCTTCCAGCCATTTCTGTCTGTGACATTCATTTCTTCCATTATTTTTATCTATGTTCAACATATTTTGTCTGTAACATGCCTCATAGGTTAAAAACATATTTACTATTTATCCTTTTAAAAAAATCTTTTTAATTTATTTTGAAAGAGTGAATGAGCAGGGTAGGGGCAGAGAGGGGGAGAGAGAGAGAATCACAAGCAGTCTCAACACTGTCAGTGTAGAGCCTGGGCTTAATCTCAGGAACCATGAGATCACGACAAGAGCCAAAATGAAGAGTCAGACACAACCAACTGAGCCACCCAGGCACCCCTCTACTGTTTATACTTAACATATCTTATGAATCTTCTTATGTTTTACAAGCCAGTTGCTCCCACACTTAGTTTCTTTCAATTTTTACAGCAGAATTGAATAATCTTAATATAGCAAAAACACATTATAGTGCCTTTAACAGTGCCTGGTGCATAATAGGCAGTATGTATTAGTTTCTCTAAAGGTGTTTAGAATTAACAGGGCAGATATAAAATGTATAACTGAAAGATGTCTGGGAATAAGGATTCTACATCTTCATATAGCCTCTGCGGCATATTTTCGAGGAATACCCACAACAGTGTTTTTTTATCCCACATGCTGTTGCGAAACTTTGATACCCCTCCCATTAAAAGGTGGAGTCTAATTCCTCTTCTGTGGTCTACATGTTTGTGTCCCCCAAAATCCATATGTTGAAAACCTAATGTCCAAGTTAATGTTTTTAGGAGGTAGGATCTTTGGAAGGTGATTAATTAGATCATGAGAGTGGAGTTTTCATGAATGGAATTAGTGCCCTTAGATTGTTTTGTTTTTTTGTTTGTGTGTGTGGGTTTTTTTGTTTGGTTTTGGTTTTGGTTTTTGCTATTGAGTTATAGGACTTCTTTGTATATTTTGGATATTAATCCCTTAAAAAGGATATTATTGCAAATATTTTCTCTCATCCAGTAGGTTGCCTTTTCATTTTGTTGTTGGATTCCTTTGCTCTGCAGAAGCTTTTTAGCTTATTTGAGAGTTTGTTGCTTTTGCTTTTGGTGTCAGATCTAAAAAAAATCATCACTAAGACTGGTGTTAAGGAGCTTACCACTTATGTTTTCTTCTAGAGTTACATGGTTTCAGGTCTTATGTTCAAGTCTTTAATGCATTTTAAGTTAATTTTTTGTGTATGCTGTAAGATAGTGGACCAGTGTCATTCACTTGCATGTGGCTGTCCAGGTGTGCTAACACCATTTATTGGAGTGACTGTCCTTTCCCCGTTGTATATTCTTGGATCTTTTGTTATAAATTTATTGACCATATATGCATAGGTTTATTTCAGGGCTTTCTAGTCTTTCCATTGATCTATGTATCTGTTTTTATGTGAATAACATACTGTTTTGATTATTTACAGCTTTGTAATTTAGTTTGAAATCAGGGAATGTGATGCCTCCAGTTTTGTTCTTTCTCAAGATTGCTTTGGCTATTTAAGGCCCTTTGTAGCTCCATACAAATTTTAGGTTTGTTTGTTCTACTTCTGTGAAATGTGCCATTGGAATTTTGATATAGATTGCGTTGAGTCTATAGTTTGCTTTGAGTAGTATAGACATTTTAACATTATTCTTCCAATCCATGAGGGCAAAATATCTTTCCATTTATTTGTGTCTTCCATTTCCTTTCATTAATGTCTTATAGTTTTCAGCATACAAGTCTCTCATTTCCTTGGTTAAATTTATTCCTAGGTTTTTATTCTTTTTGATGCAGTTGTAAATGAGACTGTTTTTTAATTTCTCGTTCTGGTAGTTCATTATTGTATAGAAACACAACAGATTTCTGTATATTAACTTTATATCCTGCAACTTGACTGAATTCGTTTATTCCAATGCTTTTTTTGGTGGGGTCTTCAGTGTTTTCTATATATAATATCATGTCTTGATAGTGACGGTTTCATTTCTTCCTTTCCAACTTGGCTTTCTTTTTCTTAACTAATTGTTCCAGCTTGGACTTCCAATATTATGTTTAATAAAAGTGGCAAGAGAAATAAGCATCCTTGTTTTGTTCCTGATCTTAGTGGGAAAGCTTTCAACTTTTCAGTGTTGAGTATGATATTAGCTGTGGGCCTGTCATATATGGCCTTTATTATGTTGACATGTGTTTCCTCTCTACTCACTTTGAGAATTTTTATCATAAGTGGGTGTTGAATTTTTGTCAAATGCTTTTTCTCCATCTGCATTATCTAGATGATCATATGATTTTTCTATTTCATTTTGTTAATT